CCAGTTTAAAGCCACCCCCCCTCGGCCTGTCACTACACACCCTTGTAAAAAGTCCCTCCCCATCTTTCCTGTAGGCCCCCTTCAGATACTGGAAGGCTGCTATAAGGTCTGCCCGGAGCCTCCTCTTCTCCAGGCTGAACAACCCCAACTCTCTCAGCCCGTCTTCATAGGAGAAGTGCTCCAGCCCTCAGATCACCTTCATGGCCTCCTCTGGACCCACTCCAGCAGGTCCATGTCCTTCTTCTGTTGAGGGCCCCAGAGCTGGACACAGTACTCCAGGTGGGGTCTCACCAGAGCAGAGTAGAGGGGCAAATCCCTTCCCTCGACCTGCTGGCCACGTTTCTTTGGATGCAGCCCAGGATGCGGTTGGCTTTGTGGGCTGCGAGCGCACCAGAACAATGAAAGCGGTTGCTGGTGAGAGTTGGGTTAATGGTGTAAACCTAGGGAAAACCCTCTGTATTCTACTTTAGTCCTGTAAGTTACATCCTCTTAAAATCTGCTTCGTTTCACAGCAGCTCAGATGTGCATAGCTCAGGACAGCCCACAATCACTGGCTGCTGTGTGCATACGTAGAAGAGTGCTCCCAAATAAATCTACAAATGACTTTCATTTGGTTCCAAACCAGTTTGAAGCCTACAGACTCTCTTCAGTTTCCCATATAAGCTGAGAAGGAGCACTTGCACAATGATGGAATGGCCAATGGAGTATTCCATACCATAGCTGTCATGCTCGGTATATAAATGAGGGTTGGCTGCGTGGTCCTGGCTGCTGGCTGGGGTTTCACAACAACACCACTCCAGGAGGCAGATTTCCACATTTCTATGCCAAACTGTGACACACAAAACGGCGCAAGTGCTCTTGGGTATCTTTGCCTTGGTCTCCCATGTAGCTCACCGCTGCTGGCAGCAGGCTTGCCTGCTTGAAATCACCCTACAGTAGTTACCCTGCTGGAAGCACATATCCTCCAGCTCACTACTCCCAGAACAGCCGGCCAGAGACAGGAGGGAAGGCAGCAGAAGAAACCGACTGGCCCATTTAACAGTGCGTCTGCAGGTGTGATGATGTGAACAGAGGCGCCCAGTTCACAGGCTAGTGCCCCAGTCACTAATTAAGTCTCCCTTTTTAATGTGACAATACCTACATAGGCAACAGGAACAAACTGAAATGTCATAGGACCTTCTGAATACATCGAATTTTAGCAAAGGGCTGGATAAACAAGAGCATCCAGTAGACCCACATCTAAAACCTGATGATCAGAAGTGTTCATTTCAGTGGAACGTGTTTTTTTTTTTTTCCTTGGACCAAACTGCAGACTAGGTTCTCTGTGGGCAGACCATGCAGAGACTGGAAATAGCAGGTTACTATGGACAGACCTGGTAAAATATCAACATTTAAGCCTGCTTTGTATCTCCCCTGAAAGACTCCACTTTCTATTCCATATATTATTGCCAAACATTGGGCATTCAGACTAAAATTGCCTGTGGCTTATGTCTGTGGCAGCAGATGTCTCTTTTCAGTTGTGGGATGCGTAGTTCAGATGTTAGGGAATGCCTACAAAAATAATTCAGTTGAAACTACAAACTCTGACAGTCATTCCTCTGGACTATGAAGGAAGGAATCTATAACCATGGACACTGACCTAAGTGCCAAACAATGGTGAGGACCACAGAGTGGGAAGGAAGTAGTGACACCAGTTGTCTAGTCTGGTCTGATCTTCTCTATCCCAGCATCGGGCAACATGTCAAACCATAATTCATTTCAGATCCCCCTCAGAGAAGAGTAGCTGTGGCACCAGCTGGAGATGGACTTCTGAGAGAGCAGGGAGCGCTCCTTGTGTGCTTGGCAGTTGGTTCGGGTCTTGTAAGCCAAAGCCAACTGGCCTTTGAGCTTCATTTCCAAGAAGAGGAACCGAGACCAAATATTGTCACCAGGAAGCATGCCAGAAAGGACAGAGTGCGTGCACCAACCTTTCTGCTTTTTCATGACGTAAAGAGCACTACTGACTGTGTCCCAATCTGTGATTTCTTCTAAAATACAGCCTGTGTTCTTTCCACTTGGAAGGTAGTTTAGGAACTAGAGCTACTAGGATAGACAGTTTTAAAGGCTAAATTACTTGTATAAAATACTAAGAAGCTCTGCATTTTGCTTTATGCAAACTATTCTATTTAGGGGGGAAAAAAGCATCTCTGCTTTAGAAGGAATTCAAAGCCACAAACCTCTCAAGGGCCAGACATTCTGAAACAAAAAAAAAAAATTAAAAGTAAAAAAAATAAAAACACTCAGTAGTGGGAAAGTTTTTTAAAAGTTCTCAAGTAAAGTAATTGAAGAGAAAGGCATTATTGTTCATGTGGCAGCCAACACTGCTAGTCCTACATGAAGAGTAGTGCCCACTGGCTTCACTGAACTGAAATTCTGTTTTTGATATTAATCTCAAATTTGATGAATATCTTCCATTTGTGCCTGATCTGACCTCTGCTGCAGCAATTGTTTTTTGCCCTTCAGCCTTTGAGGAGAGGCAAAGAGCAGAAGACAGAATTAATTACTCCATCCATTTTCTCAGAGTCTTGGTCATTAGCACAGGAAAAAAAAAGAGTGCTGTGAATATGTAGAAGAGAAGGAAATTTTGTGTCTTAAGGGTGGTAAATCAGTTAGAAACCCTTTGAATCTGGGCTGAAAAAATAGAAGTAGTGCCAATAATACTGGCTGGTGAAGACACTGACAAATGGAAAAGCTCCCCATGATCAGTGCAGGTGGGATGGAGAACCATATAACCATTACATCAAGAACTGATCTGAGATAAGTTTGTTTCCTTAATGCTGGTTGCCATGGCCATGACCAGGACCATGGTAGTAGCAAGTATCTCTTGAAATAAAGGAACTGGTAAAGAAGGAAGACAGTGTCATGTGTTTTCTCCCCAGTCTTGCTGTGCCTCATGTCATACAGTGATTTTATTGCAGAGACATTCAGAATATCAGACAAAGCTGTGTGAGAACACTTCTGTACTCCATATCCTTAATCAGGTTTATCAGCAGGGCTCCTGCCTTCATACAATCCGTATCTGCGTTAAAATAGTGCAGTGGCATGAAAAAAAAAGGCTCAAATAATATAATTCCTGCTACAAGGTTCCAAGCAAAGTACCAGCTTATCCGAGAGCCTAGTGTCACATGGCTGAGATCCCACAACATACGTATTTGTTTGTAATAATCATCTAGAAATGTGCTCTTATTACCTCATCAGTTTGAGATTACCCTTTTTAGCATACTGAAGCTTTTGTGGGCATAGCATCCAAAGGCTGTCAGGCAACACAATTCAGGGGTACCGATGGCTCACATGGGCCACAGTTCCAAGTTTCAGGTTGTAAAAACTGGTGGGGATGGTCTCATTCTGTCCCTTGCAGATCTACAACATGTTTACTCAGATTACAATATTCTCTAATGGTCTGGCCCTAAAGCATTTCTGATGCAGGCAAAGTGTTTAGGCGATAATTTATAAATCCAGTAATAGCTTCAGCAAATGCCTTCCTCTTCACTCCCGAAAGGAAACGCCTTAGTTCAGGAATTACAAATGCTCTGCCTAAAAGTTAACACAGACTTACCACATCAATCCTAGAAAGCAACAACGAACATCCCTGAAAGTAAAATGTTTTGTTTTGAATGTGATATAGTCGATCACTCAAAAAAAAAAAAAAAAAAAGGAACTTTTCAAAGTGAGTGTTGTTGCTTGCTTTGACCAGGAGATGGAGAGTCAAATGCAGCTAGAGCCTGGGCCCTGACAAAAGCACTCACAAAAGGCTTGCACAGCAGCAAGAGCATGAATCATAGAATCATAAAATCACAGAACGGTTTAGGTTGGAAGGGACCTTACAGATCATCTAGTTCCCCCCCCCCTGCCACAGGCAAGGACATCCCCCTCTAGACCAGGTTGCTCAAAGCCCCATCCAGCCTGGCCTTGAACACCTCCAGGGATGGGGCATCTACAACTTCGCTGGGCAACCTGTTCCAGTGCCTCACCACCCTCAGAGTGAAAAAAATTTTCCTGATATCTAATGGGAATCTACCCTCTTCCATTTTGAAGCCGTTACCCCTCGTCCTATCACTACATGCCCTTGTAAAACGCCCCTCTCCAGCTTTTCTGTAGGCCCCCTTCAGATACTGGAAGGCTGCAATAAGGTCTCTCTGGAGTCTTCTCTTCTCCAGGCTGAACAGCCCCAGCTCTCTCAGCCTGTCCTCATAGGAGAGGTGCTCCAGCCCTCTGATCATCTTTGTGGCCCTCCTCTGGACCTGCTCCAACAGGTCCATGTCTTTCCTATGTTGGGGGCTCCAGAGCTGGATGCAGTGCTCCAGGTGTGGTCTCACGAGAGCAAAGTAGAGGGGCAGAATCCCCTCCCTCTCCCTGTTGGTGACACTTCTTTGGATGCAGCCCAGGATGCGGTTGTCTTTGTGGGCTGCAAGCATGCAGAAGCCCAGAAGCCGACATTTGCTCTCCCTGGGGGCTGAGCCACTAATAACCATTGAGCAATTATGCAGCAGCATGCTCTGCGACACCCAGGATGGCAGCTAAAATCAGCATTTGGTACATCAGGAACTGGGCAGGAGGAGGGTGATGCTAAGTCCCTCTGCTAGAGGTATGATGGACATATAGAGCCCCTTACCAGGGCTCTTGCAGAATGGCTAAAAAAAGTAAGATATCAAGTGAGAAAAGACACAAAGGAAACAGGGGTATCATGCAGTTGTTCATGGTACTCTAGGACTTCAAGTAAAACAGGGTCTCAAACACACAAGTCTTCTGAGCTGAGGAGGAAACAATCTTTAAGTGTCCTTCAGTGTCCTTAAAAGGCTCCAGGGCTGTGCCAGAGCTGGATGGAGAACAACAAGGTCCAGCAGCTCAGTTGTTTGGATCAGCTGCCCGGGGTGCAAGGGTGGTGCTCTTGCCACAATATTACCACGCTGTCTGGCTCCAGCTCTAGTGTGAAACTGAGAGTTCGGGCTTCCAAAAACTAAAAAAACGCCACATCAACCCTCCCCCTGCTGAATCGCCAATACACAACCTTTCCAGTCCTTATAGTCACGCAGCGAGTTACTCTGCTGTGGCTAGACTGTAATCCAAAGACTCAAAAAACAAAAGGCTAACTAAAGAAATATGAGCATGATTTTCAGACATCATCTTCACTATCAGAGAGCAAGCAGAATCTTTAGCAAAAAAAAAAACCCAAACCCCAAAACATTAGGCCTTACCACAAAGATAACTGGACTAGGTTGCATCACATACTGTAGGGAATTGTCCCTTTCCATTTATCAAGAGTTTTCCTGTCTTAGTTTCTACAATGACCCTAGATCTTTCCAGATGCCTGGGTGCATTGCTCCCAATTGAACCCCAAGTGACTCTGAGAGCTTCTGATTTTTATGACTTGGACCATTATTTCTTGCTGCCTCTGCCATTTAGCGCTGAGCTATGTCACCCACAGATTCTATGGCTGAAACTATGGTATGTCTCACACTGCAGGGATCTAAACGTGATCTCTGCATCTTGTACCTGCCTCTAAACATGAGAAATGGTTGTTGCACTTAACCGCTAAACCACACAGCACTGACGCAGAAGCTGCTTTGGCCAAGGTGCAGGTAGCTGTCTGAAAGTGTTTGACAAAGTGACTTTTGGAAAGTATAACTGCAGCAACAACAGCCAGCAGAGATGAAGATTTCATTACATTGCTGCTGCTGGCTTTTCTGAATATAAGAACTGTGAACGCAGGTTGCCTGCCTTTCTTTTTGAACTTACCCAGCTTTTCCCTTGAGTCACTAATGGGTACTATGCTGCTTCTCAGTTAAATGGCACCCACTATTTGCCTGCCTGTGATTTCCTCCATTCAGGGATGTCTTGCATCTATTTGACCACAGAACTGAAGACCTTCCAGGCACATTTCAGCACAGCCATGGAAATAGAGAAATCTGCTGTGAAAGTAGTCATGGGGGAGAGTTCTATTCTTAGAACAGACAAATGGTCACCAACTCATTTCAGCTTGGTGGCTTCAAAGTTTGGGGAGGCTAACATTTTTCTGATAAAATTAAATTCAGTGCATTAATTTCCAGGTAGGTTGAACTTACATCTGGGGAAGCTGTCTTTGCTGGTATAAGGCAGCAGTCTTAGTCACATGGGAAGACAGTCAGTGGTAGCTTGGGGAAATGTCTTTAAGGACCTTGTAAAAATTCAGGGACAATTCTGGCTCTAAACAGAATCCCGCAGCTCGCTACTGGAATGACCTTCAGTGTTCACTTACGTATGGGGTGAAAATAGTACCAGAACTGTTTGAAAACCAAACAAAACAGTGGTGCAAAAAAAGCAACCTTGGCCTAACTGTCTATGGATGTACTTTTATCAGAGAAACAGAGCTGTAATATAAAAGTGCAATGTACCTACCTACCTTCCCTCCCTGCAGGGAAGAAGTGATTGCCAGTGCCTTTTCTTGAAAAGGTCTTCTTAGGCTGTTAGGTATGTGGGGAAAGACAGAGTGGGAAAGAAGAGGAATTTATTTTAAGAGATTTTTTGGAACATGTTGAACATCCTTTAAGCGGTAAGCTAAGAATATCCTTCCCCCAATTCCCAATGGTAAAATTCTCACTGCGAGATCAGAACCAGACTTGAAAACTGCTTAGAGTTCGTGCAAGTTCTGCTATAGAATTTGTCTTCTCACAGTAACACTATACCCAAGGCCAATGGTCAGAAAGCAGATAACCATACCATTTCCTCTACGTTCACCAATTCTCAGCACAGGCAGCTCTGTGCTAGGGAGAAGAATCACCTCTTTGTAGCTGCACTTGCCGGGACCTCAGGAGCACAGGAAGGGCAGTGACTCTGGTTGTTGAGGATCACTGGCAGGGAATGATGGGGAGCTCACAGCAAGCTGGATGGTGCAAGAAAGCCACATCACCCACAAATGTAAGAGCTACTTTGAAAGCTGTCGGGAAGACCATGTACACCATTGTTCTGCTCACCATCACTACGATCACAGGAGCTACAGGTATTTGTGATGGTACTTTGGTACCAACTCTCTGTTAAGGACAGAGGAGGAAAAAGCAATGTATCAGATGTGATGTTTACTCAGTTCTTCTTTAAGAACAAAAAAAAATCTAGGGGAAGGAGTCTTTACAAATTGGTGAAGGAATTTTTTCGTGCAAACCCAATAACCTGCAAATCAAAACATTTCTAGCTGCAACTAGATCTTGTCAGTTGTCAACCAATAAGATGTTGAACTTGGGCTGTTCAATTATTTGATGAAAACTGGTTATGATTTTCTTGGAGTATGATATTTTTCATGATAATTAACAGGTTTTTTAAAAACACGTGTGATGGGAGTTTTTCTGATCAGTCTGAGCACCCTATCAAGCGCTACTTTTAGGTATCAATGACTTGTCCTGACAAAGGAAGTATACTGGGATTTTATGATGAGACATTCAGATTAAAGTTTTAATAAGATTTAATGAAAAAGTTCTTTCCCCTTTCGAAACTTGGTTAAATACTTGGAAAAGCTAATTGCAAAAACATGGGATCTGACAATGCAGCTATAACCCTTTTCCTCCTGACCTGACATTAATTATACAAATTTTTGTTCGTTTTTCTTGTTTGTTTTTGTTAGGACAGGTGAGGCAGGTCACAAGGCAGGTCACCACTTGAGTCTGTCAGGAATCTCTGCATCTAATGGCAAACAGGAATGTGTTGTCTTACCAGTTAAATGTCATCCTCCTCTACTATTTCATCTGTCACCACTATAATCAGGGAAATCGGTTCATATAAGCTTTGGAGTGGCAGGACAGAAGTTGCCACCTGTGCTTGACATGATTAGGAGGGTTGGTTATATCAAGCACAAAAGTGACGTGAATGTCTTCGAACATTCATTTCTCTGCCATACTGGGCAGTGATGCTGAGGGAAAAGAAACCTGAGAGATCTCAAACTGATGGGCTCTGCAGCTCATTCATACTCCACTTCCCAGTCATGTTATCAATCCAGTGTCCCAGGGAGAGGACCTTACAGAGGGAGGGAGTGAAAACGAAGACAAACGTAGGAGAACACAGCCAGGAATTTGGTGATCTATTCCTGCCTAAGAAGAGAGATGCAGTTCTTGGGCTGGTGCAGGCAGGGCCTCACAGTGGCGCATAACAGTGCAGGTGTTACTCTGTGAAGCACAGATCAGAACTCCAAGGCTGTGAGTGACATCCCTGGGAACCTTCTCACACATCCCTCTCCTTCTTTCTCTCCTTCAGTGATCAAGAGAGCGTCAGTGATAGCAGGTAACAGCTCTGTGCTCACCTGCACTCCAAAACCAGGTATATCTATGGTAACATGGAAAATAAGCCCCAAGGTTGGAGGCCCCTGCAGCCTGGGATACAGGACTGATCAGAACAAGACAGACAAAACAAACTGCAGTGACAGCATAAACTGGAAATTCACACCAGATCAGGATCCTGCCCTTGAGATATGTCAAGTGGAACCAGCCCATGAGGGAAATTACACCTGCGAAGTAGTAGCAGCAGACGGGAATTTCCACGAGACACATCTCCTGACTGTGCTGGGTAAGGGACTCCTTCCTCACTTTATAGTTCTCCAAGGGACCATGTCTGGGCCTGGACATACAACGCTCCTCTCCCCACGCACCAGGGGAAGCATGCAGTGAGAAGTGGAGGTTTCTTGCTGGGATAAACTGTCATGCATTTCACTGATAGTAGCTCCCTGTCTCCCTTCCCCTTATTTCCCCAAACTCTTCTTTCTTCTGCTGCCCCCTTTGCCACTGTCTAGTTAGAAATGGCAGGTGTGAAGCAATATCTAATATACTAACAGCGGAGTCTGCATATGCATCCGGTTAGCCTGTAGAATCAAGCGTTAATACACTAATTTAAGAGAACTAAAGCACGTGAGACTAACACTTCCAAGTGCTGAGATATTCTACCAAACCCGGGATGTTCTTTTCCAGACAGTCAGAATGGACCCATTTCCTCTTGTACTGACATTCAAATACATCTTAAATCACATGTACAACTTAGGCTACTTGGGACAAGAGTCTAATTCAGCCTTGTATTTGGGATAATTCCCTACTGCAATGTCCAGGGAAACCGCCTCTAATAGTACATGGCTGTGGTTACTCGCCTGAATGGGGGAGAGTTGTCCAAAAGGAAAAAAGAGGCATAATGTCTCCTGTGAGTTTGACCCATGTCACTGTAATTGGATGTCACCTCTGACCTTGTCCTCTTCTTTTCACTGTGTTCATCTTGGGTAGAGAACAACATCCTGTCCCAACTCCAGCAAACTAACTCTATGTATCTCCCCTTCCTGACGCTTTGCAGTCCCCCCGAGGCTGACCCTCTACTGCGATGATCACGGGAACCCCATGTGCGAGGCAGTGGCAGGCAAACCGGCTGCTCAGATCTCGTGGCTCCTAGAGAGCAACTCCACCCCGAAGGAAGAAGGTCATGATGATGGGACAGTGACCGTTCTCAGCAAGTTCACAGCATACGGCACCAACATGACTAATACAACCTGCACTGTGTCCCACCCAACTGGGAACTGGAGCCGCTCCATAGCCTGTCATCCCTCAAGTAAGCTTCCCTTTGTGTATTCAGCGTTCAAAACCCCATTTAGCCCTCTGTTCATGCACTAAGACAAACACCAGTGGCCCTGGCAGGGTTGCAGCAGGAAGCATGCAGCTGAGCTGTGAAACTATAAGAAATGAGATGGATGTAGTAGTCTTCTCTTCCACCAATAGGGCTGAATGGAAAGGCAGGATTATTCAGAAGTTCATGACACACAAAGACAGCAATGGTATGATCACCTAGATTGTAATCCAGTGGTACCATTACATCTTGCAAATTGTTGGGTTACACATAGGTTGTGACAGGAAGAGTGAAAGCCACCTAACAGCTTCCAAACACTGGCTGGTAGGTGAAGTTGAAGATGTTGCTGGGAAGCTGTGTGCAACCATGTGTGCTTCACTGAAGTACTCGGTTGGAAGAGAATCAGAGCTGAAATGTGCTGGGATGCATATGCAAGGCCTGCAGCTGGACTACGGGAACTGGTGGGGAGGAGGATCTAATTAGTGCCCATACTGCAAAAGACAAGGCTCCTCCATCAATGGCATGGGACATTGTTTCTTCCCAGTTCTGTGCCTGGTGCTGTATCCTAGCGACCTTAGGTCATCCTCCAAAGTACAGCACAAAGAGAGCATTGTCTAGAAGATGCCATCCTGGCAGAGGCACAGGGTAAACAAACGGTCTGTGAGATGTACCTAAAAGAGCAACTGTTTCTCTTTAGGGAATAGTCTATGTTTTCTTCACTGTGTCATCAGCCTTGCTAGTTTCCTGGGCCTCCTCTTCCTGCTTGCTGTTCTTCATCTCTACACCTGGGGTAGCAGGTATGTATGGAACATGATAAACACAAACCCCTTTGGCCAGTCCTGGGGAAGTTTAGATGGGCTGTTACCCAATAGCTATTCAAGCATTTATTTAATTTCTTTGGGTATCAGTGACACACAATAGTTATGTAGCTTTATTCAGAAAAGGAAATGCCATGTCATGTCATGCACTCCCTCCCTTGTGCAGCTTTTCTACCACTACCTGGCTTCCCCTCACCCTTTCCTGGTGCAGCCAATAAACTGTAAATCACTGCCTGGGGTGGTTTTTGTAAAATGACATCTGCAGGATGCAGACACTGATTCTGCTGGCACAGCACCATGAAACTGCTCCTTTCACCTTTACAGACATGGTGTGTAAACCCATTGTGTGCATCTGTTGTCACACATGGCTGTCTGGTCACAACAGAGTCTGAACTCTGCAGAGCTGACACACAGTGTGAATGAACTCAGAGACAAGAACCAGAAGAATAAACAATTTGGAGGCTGACAGAATTACAGCTAATTCTTTGTGGTAACCTAACTGCTTTATCAGGAGGCCGGCAAGCAGAAAACCACACTGACTTTAGTTGATATTTGTAGCTATCCCAGTAGCGGAGTTTCCACAGTGCGCATCAACTGAGAGCACGCAACTTGCACTCAGCTAAATCTCATCTCTGCAGCAGCTGAGCAAGCCTTTAGCACCTCCACATACAAACCTATATGCAAACACACAGCTTCTTCACCAGTGGTCTCATTTTATGTTAAGATCATCCACAAAGCTGCAACTCTGCTTGGCTCTTACTACAGATATTACAGACAAAAGGAGTACGGAGAGAAGACCCACCTTCCTTTCCTCTCTTCACAACCTGCAGGCCAAGTCAAAATTTCAGAGACATGAACAAAGTCATGCCCCAGGTTAGCAACAGCCCACCAGTGTCAGCAGTACTCAAGATGGGTTCTCGTTGAGCTCTACTTACTACATTTCTTTTCTTTTCTCCAGATTGGTCAGGTCTCCAGCCAGAAAGAGAAATATCTCACATGCTTTGTTACAGTTTCCATTCAAATAGCTCAGAGTTGCTCTACCCTCCATCAGGGGTAAGAGAGATCAAACTCACATACCAGACTCCACAGGGCTCTGTAACCAGCCTTGCCCCTACTCCTTTGTCTATTCACTCTCAAGGACATCAGAAATCCTTCTTGCAGGAGGGAAGGTAAAGCAACCAAAGCTTTCTACAGTCAGAGTTTCAGCCCAGTCTCCTGGGCAACTACTGGAGCAACCAAGAACATTTCTTCCTTTCTCTCACTGGACACCCCATCTTCTTACTGGCGTGTTCACCACATGATAATGAGAGATTTGACTGCAATGTGCTGGATTGAATTTGTAGCTGTCATAGCAGTTTAGGCATTAATTGGCTGCCTTCTGTGCTTGCTATGGGGCTTGCTTGCCTTACTGTATATTAGAGCTCAGTGTTCATTAGTGCTTGCTTTTTGCTTTTGCCGCTTGCTGCACTGCTTATCATCTTATTCTACTGTGCCTGGGAACATTTTGATAACAGCAATGGCCACACACCTGGGCTGGCAGATGGCCAGGGCATCGCTCCTGTTCCAGTGCTGCTTTACTGTACAGGCTGGAACTCACGTAGGAACTCTAGTCAAAGGGACTGTGACCTGTGGATGAGTCCACGCAGGATCAGGACACCCCAAAGTGTCTGTGACCATGAGCTGGAGAAGGACTTTTTACTGGGGCACGTAGTGATAGGACGAGGGGCAATGGCTTCAAACTGGAAGAGGGCAGGTTTAGATTAAACATTAAGAAGAAGTTTTTCACTTTAAGGGTGGTAAGGCACTGGAACAGGTTGCCCAGAGAGGTTGTTGAGGCCCCATCCCTGGAGGGGTTCAAGGCCAGGTTGGACATGGCCTTGGGCAACCTGGTCTAGTGGGAGGTGTCCCTGCCTATGGCAGGGGGGTTGGAACTCGATGATCTTCAAGGTCCTTTCCAACCTAAACCGTTCTATGATTCTAAGTCCAGGCCAGGGCAGGTACACCTCAAAGCATCTGGGGCTGTGGTTATGTCTGTGCTGCAGCTGGTATACCTCCAAAGGGATTGTGGCCCACACTGGAGAAGGTGCAATTCGAAGCATCTGTGGCTGTGGGTAAGTCCATGCCACAGCAGGTACACCTTGAAGCATCAGTGGCTGTGCATGAGGCCATGCTGAAACACCTCAAAGTGTCTGTGGCTGTAGATAAGTCCACAACAGAGCAGGTACAATCCTGAAGGGACTGTGGCCATGTTGGAGCAGATATACTCCTGAAGGAACTGTGGCTGTGGGTTAAGGCCACGCTAGAACAGGTACATCTCTGAAGGGATTGTCACCCATGGATAAGGCTGCACTTGGGCAGGTGCACCTCAAAACAACTGCGGCCATGGATAAGCCTATGCCACAGCAGATACACCCCTGAAGAGATGGTGGCTCATAGATAAGGCTTCACTTGGAGCACGTACAGCCCTAAGGGACTGCGGTCCATCAATAAGTTCAAGCCAGAGCAGAGTAAAGGGAAGGAGTTCATTGCAGTGTTAACCCCTATGAGTCTGGTCCAAAGAAACCAGGGGTGAAGATTGTAATGGATATACCTTTAAAATAATCTAATCCATGATTTGAGTTGCATGTTATAGGAAGTACTATAGCAGGAACCACCTGAACGAAAGGAGGACAAGCCTTACAAGAAGCAGAGCAAGCACAGCAGTGACCCAACCAGAACTGGCTTTGGTGCCTGATAGCTCCATGCACTGATAACACCACCTCTCATGTCCTGAGCAACCACCAGAACAGATGGAGCCCAAAGTCATAGACTGAATGAACTGAGTGAACATTTTATGGACATATGTGGATATTTACAGGAGCGTGGTCAACAAACTTAAGGAATGATATCTGTGTGTGTATACCAAAGGACGGGAATAGGGCTGGTCATTAATGAGGGTGTTTTGCGTAGTGTGCAGCCTGAGCATGATTTAAATGGTATGGAATAAGGGGTGGAGAATATGCTGGTTTGGGCTGAGGTAGAGTAAATTTTCTTCATAGTGGCTGGTATGAGGCTATGTTTTCGATTTATGCTGAAAATAGTGTTGATAACACAAGGATGTTTTAGTTCTCGCTGAGCAGTGCTTACACAGCCACAAGGTCTTTTCTGCTTCTTACACCGCCCCAGCAGCAAGTAGGCTGGGAGGTGTACTAGAAGTTGGGAGGGGATACAGCTGGGACAGCTGACCCCAACTGGGCAAAGGGATATCCCATACCATATGACACCATGGTGAGCCATAAAAGCTGTGGGAAGAAGGAGGGACCTTTGGAATTACAACATTTGTCTTCCCAAGCAACCATTACACATGATGGAGCCCTGCTTTTCTGGAGATGGCTGAACACCTGTCTGCCATGGGACATGGCGAAATGAATTCCTTATTTTATTTTTCTTAAACTTGCAGCTTTTACTTTACCTATTAAACTGCCTTTATCTCAACCCATGAGTTTTCTCACTTTTGCCCTTCCCATTCTCTCCCCCATCCCACTCGGCAACAGCAAGCAAGAGGCTAGTGGCGGCTTAGTTGCTGACCAGAGTTAAGCCATGACTGCAAGCAAACATTGCTTGCTTTATGGGACTTTTTTTCTTTTACAATATACCAGGTTTAAACTATTGTTCTAAAAAAAAAAAAAACAAACAAAAACAAAACACAAACCACAAAACATGAACCTCAAGTCAGAGCAAAAAGTTCTAACAAATTCGGAGACTGCACTAGCTTTTCTCCCCCCAGACCCCTCCCCCCAATAAGAACTGCCTTTTCTGAGTTTCAGTCCTTCCCCAGCAAGCACGCACAACTGAGAGACCACAAATTGACCGCAGACTCTTTTTTTTTGTACTTGGTAAGCCTGCCTAAAGGATTACATAAAACTCCTCTCACATTCTGTCACTTTCAGAATGATCTCAGAGACCACTCCAGTGTCACCGGGTGTGTCTCCTCCACACTACCACTATTTCAGTGTTACAAGTCCCCTCATATCCCTACTACTGCTGTTTGAGTATGGTGAATGGGAACACTGGGGACCAAACGATGCTCTCGCTTCACAGAGCATTTCTGAAGCTTGGTACGTGGATACAAACCATGTCATCCCACTGAGAAGCTACCACACCAACCTGTAGAGCATCCTGCTCTTC